TAGTGCCCCAACCCTTCCAACCGTCCGTGCAGCCCAAGCCCTAAAGACCTAGCCCAGAGACTCCAATACCCCTTAATTAAGGAATATACCTTAAATCATATTAGGGATCCTACTACAATTTAAGGTATATTCCCTAAACCCTAAACCCTAAACCCTAAACCCTAAACCCTAAACCCTAAACCCTAAACCCTAAACCCTAAACCCTAAACCCTAAACCCTGAATTAAAGGATCTTGGAGTCTCTGGGAACGTCATGCTGGGCATTTCACTGTGCCCAGGCTCCATCCATCTGATGGCGCTGGCTCGTGAGCAAAACAAGCCCATCTCTTCCGGGGTTTCCAGGATTTAGGGCTTTAGGGCTGTTTCGGGCTTGGGGGTTTAGGTGTAGGATTCGGGCGGGGGTCTGTCTAGACTTTCGAAGTGTTCTAGGGGTTCAAGGGAGCTGGAGGTTCAGGGAATCAGGAGTTGTTTTGGTCTTTTGAGGGCTTTGGGCTTTTCGGGAACAGTTTAGGTTTTCAGGGTTGCAACATTGACACGGACTGAGATATGTCGTCGTGAACATGTTCGAGCATTCATCATGCTGGAATGGCTTTCTTGGGATTTGTTGTTCAAGCGTGCTAGAGACAGCATTCTTCATCCCTTCTTGATCCGTGCACGCACTGACCGCACATTCTGGTTTGCCATCCGCTTGTCGGCCAGAGAGGTTCCCTCGTCAGCTCGCGTGGCATAGCAGTCCTGCCGAAAAGCTTTTGCACTTCTCCGCGCTTTTGCTCAACTGGGACACTCCCAGCGGCAGACACAGGTGCTTCATGATGCGCAAGTAGCCCTCCGAAGCCCGAGTAGGCCTTCGGCCGTAGCAAAGCACAGGCCCCGAAAAAGCTGACAGAAGCCAAGCTATCTACGGTAATACTATAGAGGACCCCAAAGCCCTAGTCTAAGTTTCCAGGTCCCTATATTACGGCAGAAACTAGAGTGTTTCGGGCATTTCCAGACGGGCTCTGCAGCTCCCGCAGGCCCCGCAGCATGGTGGGAGTCGATGTTGGGCATCAGTGAGCTGCTGGTGGTGGTGGTGGTGGTGGTGGTAGTAACTGGTAGTAGTAGCAGTAGCAGTAGCAGCGTCTTGCTTGTCAACTAGAATTCCGTTTCGGAAAAGTACAAAGTCTTTTGGCAGGATCGATACGGTCGCCAGAAGGCACCCTGCTCTACTTTGGACCAGTCCCCAGATGAATCAAGTAATCCGGAGACTCGTAATTTACACAGATTTTCATAGTAGTTGATAAACCAACCCAAAGCCCTAGGGCGAGAGAATACACTCTTGATTTGCGGAAGGCGCTAACAATGGTTTGAGATGCTCTGAAGATGAGTCGGGGGAAGGCAATACAGGGACCTGAAATGATGAGATCGCTTTTTCGTAGTAGGCTTTTTTTCATATCATTGTCATATGTTTACAGCATAAAACCGCACGGGAATCCTATCCTGGGGACTGCGAAACGTGGACGAAGATCGCCAGCTAACGTGTACGATCTGTTCAACCTTGCAACCTTGTTCAGGCTTGGATAAGTTGTTTTAATGAACACATCATCGTTCCCTCAAAATCCCCACATAACTGTACTAGAATATTCTACTCACTCTCACCCAGGTGTCAGATATGGCAGAAGAGGAGAGCTCGATTCAAGCTTCGGCTGCTGTCAGTTGACATACATGTTCGGGTTTCGGGTTGCATTAGTCAGTGTAACCTCCCTAGCGGACTTAGGAAGTAGGGATAAGTTTGAGGTTTTCTGGGGCCTTGAGACAAGGGTTTGGGATAAATTTCAATTTGGTATACATATTAAATTAAGGACCCTTACAAGGGACCCTAGTTCAGAGAACTACCCCTATGACGGGTGACTTCAAACGGTAAGCAAGCACCGTGGGTTCTCGATGTCTGCGGTTCTCTATAGTTAGGGCCCCTTTGAGGGTAGTGGTTTAGGGTTTCTGGGGTTCTCTTGCTTTCAGGTAACAAGGAAAGCCAACAAAAATCATCACAGTGAGCCAGGTGCCCTCCTTTTGAGCAGACATATAAGAATTGTAGCCTCAGCCCTTAACCCGAAACCCTGTTAGCATCATCAGTGCAGCATGGCGGTGGTTTCAGTAGCCCGACCGCGAAAAAACCCTAAACACCCCCATCCTCACCCGGAGCCCGCTGATAACAGTATATACTAGTATATCATAGCATTCTATAGTTTATGCTACCATATAATAGTGTGCATAGTATATAGCAGTATATCATAGCATATGAGCTTATAGTGTATACTAGTATATATACGAGTACATACCAGCATCAAAGAGCAACCGTAAACCCTAAATCCCTAAACCCTAAACCCCTAAACCCTAACCCCTAAAACCTAACCCCTGAACCCAAACCCCTGAACCCTAAACCCTAATGCCTAAGCCCTAAACCCTAAATGCTAATCCCTAATCCCGAAACTCTAAAGCCATAAGCCCTAAACCCCAATCCCTAATCCCTAATCCCTAAACCCTAAACCCTAATCCCTAAGCCCTAAACCCTGAACCCTTAAACCCTAAACCCTAAACCCTACTTTCACAGCTTAACATCCGGGCTAAACTCGAAAAGAATCCTAAGTTCCAAAAAAAGGACACCCTAAACCCTAAACCCTAAGCCCTAAGCCCTAAACTCTAAACCTTAAACCCTAAACCCTAATCCCTAAGCCCTAAGCCCTAAACGATAATCCCTAAACCCTAAGCCCTAAACCCTAAACCCTAAACCCCCAAACCCCTAAACCCTAAACCCTAAGCCCAAACCCCTACACCCTAAATCCCTAAAGCTTACGCCTACATCGCAAGCCACGAAGCCAATGCACGTCTAACAGCTGCACTACGGCTCCCTGTGCCTATCCGGTTCTGCAGGTTCCCTTAAGCATTCCTTAAGGTACCATAAAAACCCCGTACTTGAGCATGGGTTTAGGGTTTAGGGTTTAAGGTTTAGGGTTTAGGGTTTAGGGTTTAGGGTACTTGAGCATTACATTAATTAACTAAATAGGAGCTCGTTTAAGGCCTAAGTATACACTGGCACTGGATAGGCACATGAAGCCTTAGGGCTCTACCTCAAGACTAAACTTCTAATTCAACTGGCGGAATCACGGCAAAGACATGGGTGGAACATACGTATTCGTTCAGGGGTCTAGGCTTGAGGGTTTAGGGGTTAGGGGTTCAGGTGTTTAGGGAAGAAAGCCGGCCCTGAAATACTGGTGCTGCACTTTGACCACATTGCAAACCTGCGAAAGGAAGGACTATTCCCATAGCACCCCCTAAACCCTAAACCCTAAACCCCTAAAACCCCTAAAACCCCTAAACCCTAAACCCCTAAACCCTAAACCCCAAACAGGATCAAGGTCCCACCTCCAGGTGCTTGGCATCGGCCAAAGAGGAGGGCTGAGACGGCGCAGCCAATGCAACACGCGCTCCTCACAGGTAATATAGGGGCCTGAATGGGGCTTTAGGGGTTCGGGTTTAGGGTTTAGGGTTTGGGGTTTAGGGTTTAGGGTTTAGGGTTTAGGGCCCATCATACCATATTTAGAATAAGGAACCCCCCCCAAAAAATACTATGCTATTTAGGCCCCTACATAAGCCAAGGTGCTCCGATATGTTGTGATTTCATTCAAGGTTCCTGTTTGTCTGATCAAAGGCTTTCTACTGAGTTGAACAGAGGGCTTGACAGGGTTCTTGTACTTGCATCGTGTGCTTCTGCCTGTTTCAGAGAAGTGCTACAGCCCTGAACCCTAAACCCTAAACCCTAAACCCTAATTGTCAAGCTGAGATCCTTTCAGCTCACAGTGTGCCCAGGCCTCACAGGGAGAGACTTACGAAGTGCTGCAGCTTGGTGCATGAAGAAGGGCCGTCCGGCCCTGGGCTATTTTGGCTGACCGTTGGTCGTTGTCATAACCACGCGGCACTCCAGCATGACTCCAGTATACTTCATGTAAGGTAGACGAAAAGGTGGAGGAGACCCTGAAACGGAATTTGCTCTCACACTTCCAACCTTCGCCACCAGCTCACAGCATTACAAGGCATTCCTATGTGGGATCAAAGTTACTCTACATAGGTACTTGGGCCCTTGACGATAGTTTAGGGTTAACGATTCAATTGCTGCTTTAGCTGGCTTAACATCTCCCAGGGTTAGTGAAGTCCCTGGATGCCTGAGATGCGAACCCCTATTAACGGGACCAGAAGAAGGGACATCGAATCTACGCCCCGTCTACCTATGAGTCTCCAGCCTAAACCCCAAACCCTAAACCCTAGACCCGAGACCCTAAACCCTAAACCCTGAACCCTAAACCCTAAACCCTAGACCCTGAACCGGGGACTCAGAGTACCCCTCCGAACTTAAACCTCAAGTGCCCGAAGGAAGGACTCACCAGCCTAAATTGGACCCTAGGGTTTTGGGTTTAGGGTTTAGGATTTAGGGTTTAGGGGTTTAGGGTTTAGGGGTTAGGGTTTAGGCCTATACCCCAACACCCCAAAACTATGAATCAAGCCGTGCAGCCTCAAACAACATCGGCAATACCCTGAAGTCCTGACACAACCACAACCAAACAAGCAAGGTCTGGGGTTTAGGGCTTCGGGACCCTAAAACCCCGACTATAACCTCCCAGAGCCCGAAAGTATGCCGGGTTTAGGGTTTAGGGTTTAGGGTTTAGGGAGCAGTGCCTTCGTCGGGTGATGCTTCGTTCACACCCAGGGAGCTCTCGGCGAGGTCTAGCAACCTGAACGTGTGATACAGGGGCTTTCATACGAGAGTAGGCTCCTTCCATATCCCTTAAGTGTCAGGGGCCTTCATACCAGTGGGCTCCTTCAATATCCCTTAAGTGTCAGGGGCCTTCATACGACAGTGGGCTCCTTCCATATCCCTTTAGTGTAAGGAATAGGGACCTTAAATTATGGTAGGATGCCTAATATGATTCAAGGCATATGTCCTTAATTAAAGGGATTTTTTGGAAGGTCTGGCGGGGTGCCTTCAAGGGGTTCCTGCAAGAGGTTCATATGCGTTCTGTAACCAGGGCTGTATCGGGCTTCCGTAGAGGTCTCCAACTCCGGTGATTGAAGGGCTTAGGGTTCAGAGTCAAGTTTACATTTAGGGTTGTGTGAGGATGTCGGATGAAGGTTTAGGGCTTAGGGTTGAAGGTTCAAGGTTCAGGGTTTAGGGTTTCATGTCTTGGGATGGAGCTTAAGGTTTCTAAGAGGCTGAGGGTTTATTGTTCAGGTATTGAGCATGTACTGAAAGTAGGTTCTACCTTCCGAGATGTGTCGCCGAATCGGGTGGCAATCCATGTACTGTTAGGATCACCTACAGTTCCTGAATGAAATCTGCTCCATGATAAGGGAAGCTAGGATAGCGAGTTGCTGCTTTCCACCAGAAACCGGTACCCTGTATGCCTTCATAATTCGAACAGGGTTTTGGGGCATATTGTTCTCTAGTTGTAGTATGGAACCCCCACAAAAATAATAAGTTTTGAAGTATGTTATACTATGGTTATAGTCATAGTATGGACCCCGCAAGAGTGTTGGTAATCATGTGGGCCCCTAGGTTTAACCCAGAGCTTCTGAGGCACCCCGCCGAATTAGCACTCCCAACTCCAAGTTGAGCCAGTACCTGGCTTTCGAAGATGAAGATCTAAATTATAGGGTCAGGGTTAGGGTTTAGGGTTTAGGGTTTAGGATTAGAGGTGTGGCTGGCTTCAGATGACGAGCCTGCTTTCAAATTCGATTCCATGGGCTTCAGTGGATTTGAGTGGTGGGTTTTAGGGTTTAGGGTTTAGGGTAGCTACATCTCCGAATTTGTCAGATGACCTCGACGTTCGGGTGGCGTCCGGGACTCATCTGCGTCCAGGACGTCAAGCCCATGAAGCTGTCGTGACACGGTGCTGTGTGATTGAACTGCTCAAAACCCTCGTAGATGTCGAAACCATATGCCCCTATACTCATATAGTATATGAAGTGTCTAGCTTAAGCCCTAAAGAGGTTCCCACACAGTTACAACAAGGCCTAAGTATACACCTAGAGGCTCATACCCTGCCCTTCTTGTGCTTACCTATTCTTCTATATAAGAGATCCTAGCCATAAACCTAGGTACCCCAAGATAAACGGGTAGGGTATGAGCTTATAGGTATACTACTGTCTGGTGCTTAGTAGGGAATGAGGGAATGGATCCCTATGATAGTCCCTTAAAGTCGCTTATAGTAGTCCTTATAACCCATTCCCCCATTCCCTACT